AATTCATGCAATATAGGGTTAAGGCTGGGTTTACAGTAAAATTGGCGCGAACAAAATGCGTGTAAAAAAAATCGACCCTGGCCGTTCCAATTCGTTTAAAAAGTAAATGATTTTGTGGGTTCTCAAATTAGTACTAGATTTTTAGTAATATTTTAGTTCAACGGTATCGGCACCAGAGTTTAGTGAATTTTAGTAGTTTCTTCTTTAGATATCTATAATGGGTAAACGCGCCAAATGAAATTTAAAATTGACATTCAGTTGTCTTTTTCTTAGATATTATACAGCTAACGAATAAAGGCTCTGAATACCATGTAAAAAGGAATAAGCTTTCATGTGGCATTTTAGTATAATTAAAACTTTGCTAATTGGGTACATCAACCCTTTTAAATTAACTTTAATAATTAATGAATTAATAAATCAGTTTTTATTTTCTATAACCAGTAAGGAGAGTATAGAAATAATGATTTTTTTTAGACCTCGAGTTTTCGATAGATTTTTACGTTTTAGAGTCCTTGAATCCTTTTTTGCGATGATATGTGTGTGTATCCACGATAACGTAAAAACGGATTAAGTGAATAAACTAAATTTTAAACTGTGGTGAGCTGATTAGAATTTGGCCATTGTCAGAGCATTCTTTATTGGGGATAGGTCATTTAAAGGGGATCGTTTTTCTACTTTTAGGTATATTCCTGTTATTTAGCATTAGAGAATAAAATTCGTTGAATAAAGTTGTATCCGATGTCATTCTCTATAAATTTTGTTATATAGTTCCGTTTCATTTGGGATGTTTTTTTTTTAAATTTTACGCAAATTCAGATTCATTTGAAGTTTGTGCTTTGAAAATAATAAAAATTACGTTGACTTTTTTTGCCGATTCCTTATACCTGTAATTTGATATCTTATCAAAAATATTAAATAAGTTACAGGTTATTTCTCAAAATATCGAAAAATGGTAAATCAAAAAGGTATGGGTGTTCGAATTTTTTAAAATTAATTTAGCAAGAATTTTATTTTCTTAAAAATCACTTTTTAACAGAAAAAAATTAAAGTTTAAGGATCAAAATTTGCTTAAATTTGATAGATGGATAGAAAACTTAAACAAAATGAACTTTTTTATTCAAGTAATTTTTTCGAAACTCTGAGAAATATACTGAGTTGTTGCAATTTTTTGAAAATATGTCAACTTTTACAGGTATATGTAATCAACTAAAAAAAAAAAAACTCGTGAACGTTATTTTTTATTGTTTTCGAGGCTTAACAAAATAATAGGTAAACATAAATCCTATAATGTGATATTTAACGGTGACAACAGACGCGACCGAGAACTGTCTCTTCACGTCTGAAATACATTTCGCACGGCGCGACACTTCTTGACGACACTTCTCGACGACACTTTGAATCTGTCTCCAGACAAAGTGCTTGCTGCGTGTCGCACTCGAGGTCACTGTCCTCAGACATCCCTTGTATTTGAAGTTAATTAAGTTAGAAATTTCTTTCGATCTAACCACTGTTGCCAGATGCTGGAACAATATGGGCGAAAAAAAAAACCGTAGATCTGAACAGTAGATTTTAATACAGGGGGAAATGATTATAATTTGCGGTGTAATAAATAAAAAAAGTATATAGAAAACAAAAAATAAACATTTTTCTACCCAAATCAGAAAGTAAACAAAGAATAAAAATAAATAATAACATTTTTAATATACACTTAGCTTACGGAAACAAAAAAAAACAATGAAAAATAATACTTCTTTTAAATCAGTCTGAATCAGATAATTCAAAATAGTTGTGTTTGGCATGCATGTTCTTTTTATGATGCCCTATTAATTCTTTGTTTCATTTTAAATAAAATCATAATGATTATCTTGATGTTTTTTTTATGGAGGCAACCTACAGTAGTGGATGCTTATTACGCAGCTTTTACTTCAGCAAATTTACTAGAGAAAATATTCTTTGACCATTTGCTGGAGAATGAGGCAAACCTAATAAAATAAGAACAAAATTTGCTAGAGACGAAAACAGTGGATCTACTAAAAACAGTATGTCTCGCAACGCTGATCGCTCCCTCGAATGGTTATCTGCGGGTATCGAGCATGGAGGTATAATACTAATGGAGATGCCATGAGGCAATTGTTTTGCATATGATACGTTTTATTAAAAATTACCCCACTGGGCGTGGCTTAAATGGTTGACTAAGCAGGGTCGTATTCAAATATAATTAAAGTCTGTATGCAGAATTACAACTTTTAAATGACTTACTTACCTAAGATTTGTTTCAACATGATCGATTCGAAATTAATTTGATGACATTGCGCAATTATGACTTCTACACTTTTTACTATTATTTATTAACTGTTTTCCGACCAAGCCAATGCCAAGACCATAAAAGAGATTAATATTATTATATTGTTCTGTCTTCGCCGAAACCGTCCGATATATGACCTGTGTGATCGAAAATCAACGTTCGAATAACACTGTGCATCAAATTTGTTAACCTCTTTGTGCTTTAAAACTAAAACCCGAACTACGATTTTTCGTTCAAGGACTCTCTTGTCTTGATCAAAGCTGCCAATGTCAAAATCTGACAATGAGGAGAATTATGACATCAAATTACCAAACCAAAAACCAAACCACTACGTGAATTGTAAATAAATATATTTCAGTAAAAATACAGCTGAGTTTGTAGAAAGGACAATTAATTACTTTTAAATGTGAAACATGTAGGTCTTTCTGCTGCAGATGACATACATTAAAAATATGACCCGCTACAGTCAAAAGTTTAAAAAGACCAAAAATTTAGCAGGTGTGACTTTATGGTTAAAAGTAGATGGAAGAAAACCATGATCAAAACTACTCTGACAAAACCAATCGGAACTAAAAAGACTCAGATAATAAATGTTGGTTTTATTTATGTTTGAAATAATTAATTATATAGGGTAGGTACATATATTACTAAAATTGCAAGCAAGCACTTACTAAAGATTTCTATAATTGGTACCTATGTATAATAAACAACAATCTCACAAGTTTAATTATAGTTGGTCTTTAAGTTTAATTATAAAGTTAGTTATTTAAGTTTAATTATAAAGTTAGTTATTTAAGTTTTATTATAGTTATCTAAGTTTTAATATAGTTATTTGTCTTTATTATAAAGTTAGTCAAGCCAATGTTCTTTATTAAGTTAGTTATTTAAGTTTTATTGTAAATAAAGTGTATACTAACTAAACATTCATTTATTGTCGGAACAGCATTCTTCTTCAATCTGACCCTAAACTCACTCTTATCAAAAAATTCTTCCTTGAAGTGAATAGAGCACAACATGCTATTCGGTTTAGGCTCAAATTGGTCTTTTCCCACAAATTTAGACCAAATTTTGAGATATTATGGGTCTTTTGAAAACCTATAATAAAAAAAGTTAAGCATTCTAAAAAAAATTATAAGTACACTTTTTATACTTACTTATGAAAACTTAAATTAGATATTTTCTTACGCTCTTTCACAGAAGAGTTTTTACAATTAATTTTGGCACACTTAGTCATGATTTTTATACAAATTAATAAAAAAAAAACACTTATTAAGATAGAAATAACGTCGAAATATTTAAATTTGAACAAAGTTCTGACAGCTCTTTGACATCTATGACATGACCACTAAGAGAGGGGGAAGGGGTGTCGTTTTTTTTTGGCATGTCATCTCCATAGTATTCAACCTCATTGGTATCGAGCCACCCGTCTCCTTACTTCCCAAATGTACGGAGCGTAACATTCATGCATCTGTCGTCCTTGGGGTCGTCTCGGTGGTCTCCTGTTTCCTGACGCGCCTACCAAAATGGTACCTCAACCATACTTTATCCTTCTTTATATATTTCATGATTTACCATTAACAGTGTTGCCGGATTCAAAATTCTCATTTTCGAAAAACGATCTAGTTAATAGAAATTAAAATAAACAGAATAAGGGACAATTAAAAATATTTTTATTAGCAGATGGCATACGGCAAATAGCTGCAATAAAAATTTATATATTCATTATATTTTATTTAGTGCCATCACAAATAAGTAAACTAGTAGATAGAATAAAATATTAAAATACAAAAGAACAATATGGACATGATTACTTCGCAAAAATGTCAGACATACTTTATTGTGCGAGCCAATATGGGTGAAAAGTGAATTAACCAAATTATTCAAAAGGTTGTTTCTAAATTCATGCGACAAAATTCAGGAGGTGATTGCTGGTATGAAATTAAGATGGGTCTTTCCTATAACAAAATTTCTGAGCCCACCCCTTTCCGAGATAACACCTTTAAAAGGTGGTGACTAAAATTGAGTTTTTATATTTTTTTTTAATTTCAGTAAAGCTAGAAACTTGAAATTCTGTAATTTTATTTTGGCTAGAGGTGGTCTTTTTTAGCATTTATTATGAATCGTATTACATTTTACATCTTTACTGTTTTCCTCTCAATTTATTAAAAAAATTATAAATTCTGGTGTTTATTTTTTTCTCTGCAGCTATTGGTTTTGTCAAAAAAAAATTAGAAATAATTTTTTTTTTAAATAAAACAAGGATTTCAAATTACAATTTTATTTCATAAAACTTCATCTCGAAAAAAAGGGTTGCTAATTTCACCCCCCTATAACGTAACAGGAATATTAAAAAAATACCAGTGGTTAGTCCTTTGCGAGTGCACGAAAATTACACAATTTCAAGTTTCTAGCTTTACTAAAATTTTAGAAAAAAAAAATAAAATCTCAATTTTAGTCACCTCCTTCTAAGGGTGATATCTCGGAAAGGGGTGAGCTGAGGAAATTTTGTTATAGGAAAGACCCATCTTAATTTCATACGGGCAATCACCTCCTGAATTTTGTTGCATGGTTTTAGAAACACCCTGTATTATAGACATCCAAAATTTCATTTAAAGCGGGAAATTTCCAGTTTAACGGCAACACTGCCATGTTGTATCTGTGTTTTTTTTTGAACTAACAAATTTATTTGTATTAGGTGTAATGGGAAGCACGAGAAGCCCAATTCGGCCATTCTCCTCATCCTGGAATCCTCCAGAAGTGACTTCGGAAGTATGGTATGCAGCATCAGGAAATCATATGAGCAATGACGTAGACGTACCTAATCAACTTGGACTGCAGAAATCTAAGAATTCAGCTACATTAGTTCATTCTTTAAGTTTAGCTTGGTTTAGTTTGTTACTTATAATAAACGTCCTTGTACTCCATAATTAGCAAAACTAATAAAATGTTACTATGTACTATTTTACCATAATGTAAGTACATCAAAAGAATAATTGAGAATGTGTTGAAACATTGGGAAATCAGTCTAACAAAATTTAATTATACAACTATTTTATTTATATATTTCTATCATCATTTAGAATAATAAACTCAAAAATTAGTCTAGTCATACATTCAAAAAATGGAAAAGAATTTTTTTAAAAAACGCTTTGTCAACTTCAATTTTTCAGGGAAACAAAAATATAAGCAAAAGACAATTAAAAGTGATTTGTTTCGTTTTTTTTTCTCAATAACACCCACGTAATCTCGTTTTCAATATTTCTCTGGCCAAAATAAAAAGAGGGATCTCATCAATATGCTGCGTAAGTATTTGAAACCCGATAAACTACACCTAAGTGAATACGGTCCATTTAATCAAAAAGTGTTTAGAATATGAAATAAAGGTAAAGAATTTCCACACTCGTTTTATTCAAGACACAGACATTTTATTTTATTATATGCCAACACAATTAATTTTAAAATGTATTGAAAGTTTTTCCATTAAATTTAATAATGGTTGTAAGAATTAAATTTCTTTTTGTGTTCTTTACATTCTACCAAAATCAGTTTTATATAGTCCAAAGGCGACGCTTAATTAATAAGATCCGTATGGCAACGTCTATCGAAAAACTATTCTTTAATATCTAATAATCCTTATTTTAACATACGAGGTCTGAAATAATTATCGAAGATTCGTGATCGAGCCGGAGTAATAAATCTGTCAGATCAGGAAATTACAGGTGTGGGTGCCTCTATCATTATTTACGGGGTACATAAAATCATCATTTAAAAATATATTTTTTTGAATTGGTATTATTGAGTATTATTTCGGTATGTAGGTACTTTATAAAATGTTTTTTGAGTTATTTGCAACTGTTATGTAAATGGTAGAGTTATCTGTTAGTAATAAGACAATCTTTTTTATTATAAGTTCATTTTTGACTTAATTATGTAGTGTATTATGTAGTTCATTGAATTACTAATAGCATTAGCTTTTAAATGCAGAGTCACACTTTTTTGTACAATAACTCCTGACCTACTTTTAGTTTTGTTGGTATGTTAAGTCCAGGACGGACGAATTGCTCTAGATATGCAGTTAAAAAATTGTAAATAGCTCGTTAACTAAGAAAGATACAAAGTTCATTTTGCTATAAAAAAATAAAAATTCATAGTTCTTTTTGATTTTTAGATCGGTAAGTCAAGTTTCTTTATGACAAAAAAAATACGGGGGGGTTGAAAGGTACACAACCCCCCAACTTTTTTTAAAGGGGTCTCTTTAATTTTTTTTTCTCCTTGGAATATTGGGCCTTCAAATCTACAGCACTGGCAAAAATTTCAACAGCAAATTTTTTACAAAAAAAAATCGTTTTTTTAAATGTTAGTTTAACACCCTGTAACTTTGTTAGGAGCCAGTTTTTGATATAGGTAAATATAGCCAAATCCACTTATTTTTAGGTAATCTATCTGTGGAAGAATTTATGACATACCTTTTTGAAACACCCTGTATATTATAATAACAGAAAAGAAAGTAAAAAGTAGGTTTTTCAATTTGATGGAAAAATTAGAAAAATAGGTATGCCAGTTCTATTTGTTGAAATGAAATTATAAGCACCTATTATTACCTACCCATTACAAAACATATTTAGGAGGGACTGAAAAATATGTAGTTGAAGAAAAGCTTGTTTAAAATGAAGAATTTTGGCAGGTACAAAAAAATTAAGTTTATTTTTATATTTCTTTATAGGTATAGTTTAATTTGTAATATTTTTTCTTAAAATTAAACTACAAGATTACCATTAGTTGTATGGATTTCGTAATTAAATAAGGGTTCTTTCTTCAGGTAAAATGTAGCAAAGTTCTGAAGTACGATACGATATGTTTGCAGACAAGTGTTTTGAAATGAAATAAATCAAATCTATACGAATTTTGTCTCCACTAACAAGATGTTATATTCAACAGTCGAAAGTGTAAACTTGTGGGCAACAGCTTATTAAATGTATGTAGAAGTCCAAGAAAGTGCAATGGTACCAGCTTTTACTATAATAATAATGGTTTTTATCATTCTCCTGTTTTTTTTGTAGATAGGATTTATGATTGTTGCTTAAATTCCATATTGTGTATCAGAATGTCTTTGGTCTTCTTGAAAACATATTTTTATACAATATAAAGCAGATGGTACATTTTTTTGAGACATCCTACAAGCCTTTCGAAAACTAAATGTTTATTTGCAGGTAAGATAATATCTATCTTAATTTTGTATGATCATTTATTGTATAGACAAATAATTAAATAAAAATTATTAAGGCATAAAAAGGTAATTTGTAACTTTGTGTCAGCAGAAGGATTTCCTACACCCAATTTAATATATTTTTTACAAACAAATAAAATGTCTTTAGTATAATCGGTAGATATTTTTAATAATTCAGCACTACATATGTTTCGGAATCTTCTGGTGCAGTCACAGCTTTTTAAAATTTAAAAAAACATTTAGGAACATAAACACTTTAAAATGATCATGGACGAAACCCATATTTTGTGATAGTGTGTAGGTATAGCTTACAACTAGTTGATTAAATTAAAATACACGTTTGACAAATCTTTTACACATTCGCAGAGTTTAATATGTGTAAGTGTAGTTATAATCTTTGCAGTCTATTTTATAAACTACATTTAGTTGAGTTGCTTTCTTGAGTTTGGGTTTAAAATTTAAAAATAAGGTTTCGTTTACGAGCAATTTTTACATTATAACTAGAGAATATTTTTGACACTTGTTTGGAAAGTTCTTTTACATATAGCAATTTAATGTTTAAAAAAGTGTGCCACACCAAATGTTACAGTGATAACACTTTATGCTTTTGACTATTTAAGTACCAAGCTATTTATTTAATATAATAAAACAAGGTATTTGTTTTAGGTTAAATAATGAAAATTTTGGAAGCCACAAATTATGGACATATTCAGATGGCAATAGCAATTTTAAATATATCCAAAATATTTTGTAGTTTTAAATGTTAATTAACAATTTTGTAAATGGTTTATTTTCAAATAAATAAAATTTACTTTAATATTTAGTTATATTTTAATCATTTCGATTAGAAATTCATTAATTTTTAGTTTAAAAAAAAATAGTAATAAAGTTGTATTTTTTTTTAAGTTGAACACCAAAAAAGCAATATTTACTAATTTATAATATTGCGGAAAAAATGCTACCATATATTCCTGAGGCTTAAATATAACGATTTAACCCAACTTATATCAGTCCAAAAGTGGATGATTTCAGAAATACAGAGTGTTAAAAGTTCAATTTAGTTTTTCATAAATAATTTTTTTAATAATTAATGTATTTTTAAAATATTTGGTTAAGAGGGGTTTGTGGGGTAAAATATTTAAAGCTGCTCCCATTTTTATTGTAAAATTTAAAGGACGCCTTTTTTATAAATCCAGATTTCTCAAAAACGGCTTCTCAAATCTATTCTTACCACTTATACCTTGCAGAATAAGAATTTTTATTTAAGTTAAATACAGAGTGGCGCTTAAATGTGTGTAAGGTACAACAATTTTACAATAAAAATGAGAGCAGTTGTAATTTTTGTATACTACACTGTAGTTTTGTATTTTTTTTTTAATATGGGTTAGGAAAACAACATGTGAATAGTATCTTTATTTTGTAAATTTGTTATAATATTTTAATTAATAATAAGGTTTGAAAAATAAAACAAAAATACATAAGAGGTACTTATACAACATAATAAGTGAAAAGACAAAGTACATCTTGACATTTACATTGAATCAGAAACAAAAAACACTAAGTACTCAATATGTTAATCTACATCAGAAGATTCGTTGTTTTTAGCTGCCACCTGATTTATTTGTGCCTCTATCAATTCTATGGGATTTAACTCGCAGTGATATGGGGCAGCCACTACACAACTTTATTGGTTTCTTTAGCCTTTACATCGACAACATTCAAATTATGTGCATCTTTATGTTGCCAAATTAGGTGTAAAAGTTGATATCACTTCATATTTAAATAAATTTAATATTTTTAATATTTTAACCATTCCTGTCAGATTTTCTTGATGAAAAAGGAATTTTTTCAACTTTTAAACTATGATATGATACATTTTCCATCACAATCATAGTATAATTAGAAAACTTTGTAAAAAATGTAGAAAACCAATTCTAAAATACTTCAGATTTCGTCTCGTCAAGGTAAATGCATTTTCTACAAAACCTTCAGAATTAGCACGTATATTAAGGCACCTGTTTTTGGCTTTTTAGGCCTGTTGATAAACCTTATTATGATCTTCATCAAAGTAGAAGCTTGGCCTGTTTTATTTTCTATATTGTTTGATGGATTTGAAATCTACGTATATAGTGTTCTAACAATACACTTTGACAATTTCTTTTCAAATATCTAAAAAATATATACCTAATAAATAAACAGTACATTTGACTGGTCAAAGTTACAAACTTACTTAGTTATTACATCTCAAGAAAGTATATAAAGATTAATAATATATTTGTGGCAAATCTAAATATTTCAATTCTTGCAAAATTTTATTCAATCTAGATAACTTATTTTTGAAAAAGAAATCGTGTACTAATCTTCGAATAGCATTTATCATCATCATCATCAAATGTTTTTAGAACTCCTCGTCTTCCATATATACTTTTTAGACTAGATATTGTTCCATTATTGCGGTATTATTTCAATAATCGGTAAGTAGTTGACTTTGACCTGTAAGAAAAATATTGAGTATTTAATATTATTTTTAATTTGAAAGTAATGAGTAAAACTTACTGGTAGCTTGAGAAATTTTGGATATAACATCAACAATTTTGGTTTTCGTATTATTATCCAATACCTATTTGTACATATTTATTATTTACTGCTTTTCTGAGAGACTTGAATAGCCTAAACTCATTCGTTTTCGTTGTTTTCATGGACTCCGCGAGGAACTGTTATAATAGTATTCGGTGTAGAAGGATCCATAATCGTAGAAATTCAATACAATTGCTTACTAAAGTTTTGAAAAGAACTGTTATTAAAGAAATAAAATAAAAAAACTAAGCAATAATGATGAGATATCAAAGAAATAACAAAACTTAAATTATAAATGTCAGAATCGAAAATAGAACTGTCAACAGTAGCTAAAAAGTGATGTGTGAAACTGACTTCAATCTGGCCAACTTAAATTCAAATCGCTGCTCTTCACATACTTTGATTTTCTTTTACTATACGGAGAATAGTCGCACTGCGCAGCTTTCTGAGTGCCTTTTAAAAGGAGATAGAAAACTCCGCCATTTTGAACCCTTATTACGTGTTGCCTACATCTTGGCGCAATATTTTTAATAGGTGCGTTTTAATCATCCGCTTCTGCTTCGGAATTGTCGGTTTTCTTGTTCCGGAAGCAGAAGCGGATGATTAAAACGCACCTGATATTTTGCTTTAGGCAT